AGAATACAGATATCCACTTTAATCTGGGAGGGACAGAGTTTAGTTCATAGTACTTGAATCTGTTTCAGGGACAGCTCAAGAAACCCCAATCCATCCTCCACGAGGAAAAGAGCAGCCCCCCTGCCCCTGGGAGCTCTCTGCTGCTTCAGAAGTATGGCCGGGTTTCCGTCCTTAATGAGCTGCATGGCAGAAGGGTGGCATTAGCTGCGACAGAAGTGCGTATTTTTGGATGAGGAGCTCAATACGTAATCTGAAAGGCTGAAAAATAATGGCTGGCTCTTGCCAACTTCCAAGACTGGCATGTCCCGCTAATTAGTAAGAGAGAAGATGGATATTTTCTTTGTCCATTCAAAGGGGAACTAAAAAAAAAACCCTGTGCAAACAACATAGGGACTGCCCTTAGCTACCATCAGAGATGATTAATGACAGTGAATTAATTGTTAGAGAGAAGGGGAGATGGGTAGAGGTAGAGACTGAGGCATTGACAAGAAACCTGACAGTGATACAAAATGTTCGGGGTGAGTTCCTGGGGTCAGGGAGAGGTGTGTGAGTAACAAGTTTCACTCGGGCTGTGAATAACTGGCTGACATGTCCCTCAGCTAAAGAACTTTTTGGTCACAAGCCCGGCCTTTATTCTACCACCGGCACACGCCCCAGCAGTGGTGAAGGAGATCGCTAAGCTGCTGGTGTGGGTGGTCAGCCTCCTCTATACATGATTTTCCCCCACAATGGAAGAAGTCCACTTTCTGCTCCATCCTGGTTTATTTTTTGCTACATATAACCTAGACCAAGCATAACAACAGTTCTAGAAGAGATCTCTCCAACCACCCTACCCCATCTGCCAGAGCTGTAACAAAACCAAAACCAGACTACATAGTGGTAAGTCCTTATGAACATCAGAGTTTTAAAACTGGTAACACTGGGTCCTTTTCATGAGATTCACTGAAAGGTAGTAATTTTCACTTGGCTGGATCATTCGGCCATGAGCATGGCTTTCACTTTAAGCTATAAAATGAAGATCATAGTACTCATCCTGTATTTCAGAAGCCTGCTGCAAGGACAGAGGATGCAACCATATCATGAAAGCAAATTCTGCATCGCAGAAGTCTGTTCGCATGTTAACAACACTACCTCCTCCATTACCACGGCAGCTGTGAGCAATGAGTTTTGACTAGATGTGTGCCATATGTTTTTACTTTTATGCTGCTGCTATTTCTAGTGATCCAGCATTTGGCAAACTTAGTGATCTTTCTGATTACTTCTGCTTCATCCTTCTGGAACCCTTCCCCCATCTGTGGTTTTGGACAGACTTTAATTCTATCTTCTCTGAGGTTCTCTAGAACGCCCACAAGGGCCTAGAAAGCATCTCCTATTTCAGGTGTTTCTCTTTTCCCTTTTAGGAATTCACTCTGCAATTTCCTGGAACTATTATTCTCTGTTAGGTGGCAAGGGGTTTAGTGGGTCTGAATTACACCACACGCACAAAATGCTTTCAGTAACTGACCCAATGACTCATTCCTGTAAAAGCAAGTGTTCCCAGCAATTACTGTGAATTACAACTTTCAGGGAAGCAGGTAAGCATTGGAGGCCTTCAAACAGTATCATGTACGGGTGTCAAAAGTCAGGCAACCTCCGTGGAACTTACTGCTCATGTGTTGAAAACTACATCTTCCAGGAAGCAGACTGTGGTGAGGAACTATACTCCCACGTAGCCTTCTCTTGCTGGATTCAATTTCATCAAGGCCATCCTTTCACGTAAGAGGCTGGAATTCCAAATACCTGTTTTGTTCTCTGCTTAAGAGCTCATCATCCCCAATAGACACCCCCCCCCCAAAGTGAATCAGTAATGCAGAGAATAATTTATTTGAAAATATTATGTGAAGTTTTCAGGCATTAAATAAAACTGCTATGTTGAAGTAAACAGAATTATAACAAAAATAACAGTGAAGTGGGGGGGGGGGAGGAAGTAGAGAAAGATGATCTGACTCAACTCAACTGCTCCCCCTAGTGTACAAACATTGTTCTCACCTTCCCCATTTCCAAGCTGGCAAAGAAATAGGAGAGTACCAATTTATTTTGCAGTTTGTTATTTTGTCAAGGAATTTTTGAATAGGGCAGAATGAAAAATAAGAGCTTTCACTTCTTTGAGAAGGCACTTACTCATATAAAAACATTAAATAGAATACTTCTACTAACAAATACACAAAGTGAAATTAAGAATAGTCTTCTAAATATTAGCTTAAATATACTGTTTTATATGTAACACAACTATCTAGCAAATTATTTTTAAAATATGGTTTTGGAAGTTAAACATAGTGTCAGATAAAGGGAAGTCCAAGGTAAGTTCAAGAACACCAAGTTAGAAAACAGCCTATCTCTTCCACGTTATGACTTGTGACTTTGCTGGCAAATGGAACTATATCAGGAATGTGTTTTCTTTTCTATTTTCACATCCCTCAAAATTTAAGTTCTAGGAAAAATCCAGCCATCCTAAACTGAAGATAGATTGTAAGCAGAACTAGCTCCTGGGGGGGAAGCAAGAAAAGGTTACTGTGTACCCATTGTTCTTTCCTTCTCCAGCCCTAGCTGTGTCTTGTCTTGTCTTGTCTTTTCCTTTCTGTTTGGAATGCATTTATTTATGTGTCATTCATCAAAGGCAGCCAGTTAGTCTCTTTTAAAAATTTTTCTTTTCTAGACCCTTCTGCTGTGACTGACTTAGGAGTTTATCCTTGGTTCTCATTTCAATACTTTCAAACATCACAAACTGTTCAGCTGTTAAAAAGTTCTAAAACAAGCAAATATTTTCCTGGAATCTTCCCCCTTCACTTCAGTGGAGAGAATACACTAAGGCTTCTTCTCCAGCCAAAATAATAAAAGACCTGTAAGTGGCTGGAATGCTTAGTTGGTTGCACATACATGCCAACGTCAGACAATGATCAATAGGGAGATTTGGAAGAGTAATAGGAGTGTCTGAACTCCAATGAAATAAAATGGAATGTTTTGAAGGCAGTCAGAAAACAGTATGTATCTTTATAAAAAGAGTTTGTCTCCATTTAGCCTTAAATTCTTTTTCCACAGGAAGAGTCCACATGGACCATAACAGTTTCAGTATGAAAAAATAAAAAGGTTTTTTTTTTTTTTGCTGATATAAGCTAGCTAGAAGGAATACAGTTCTTTCTCCTAAAATGAGAGTCATCAATGATGGCTGCTAAGTCCATCTGGAGGGGAAAAATCCATATTACAATTAATATATTTAAATTCTTAATTCTCTCTAAATTTCAGTACATTTGAATTTGCTAAAAGGTAGAGTTTAGCTCTCCAGATTCAGGTCACAACACTGGTGTAACAGAAGGTAATGCTTTGATACTATTTTTTGGTGATGATTGTAATATTAGTATTTCTGAAATAAAACCATAAGGCAACACAAAATGAGATTTAAGGGTACTTAAAAATAGCATGATGTTAAATAAACCATGTTGATAATTTAAAATTTTTACCTTAAACTTAAATATTTTTCCTAAAATATTTAAAAAGTAATCTACAAGTGGGATTCAGTTTATTAAATGACTTAAAATTCATTATATCATTCTAATGGTCCGTTTCCAAATTATATGTAAATGATATGCTACCTATTAACTGTCAAGTTTTCCTGTTACTTCAGATTTAGAAATTCAACTGTTTGACTAGCATGTTCCATGCCCTGGTTTCAATCCCCAGGATCACAAAATGAATGAATAAATAAATGCATAAAAATAAGTGAATAAATAAATAAGTAAAAATTAAAAAAATCAACTTTATTACCAGGAATTGTGACATTTTTGTATGTTACTCTGGCAGCTAAAACTCTTTAGCAATTCAGAGAGAGGAATGTGCTTGGATCCTTAGTTGTCCCCAGTAGATTATTCCATAGATTACAGAAGCATAGAATAAGCTCCACCAGTGGTGCGCAAGGTTGGGGGTGGGCGTGTAAAGGGAGAGGAAAGGCGCTGGTGTGCACTGCCTAGGGTGTGGCTCCCAGGGGAGCTGGCAGGGGTTGAGAACAGATTGTTCAAAGGGAAAATACAAACCGTTTTACTAGGCAAATATGACTATGCTAGAGTGCCCTTCAAAGTACAGATTTAATAAAAATAAATCGCTTTATCACTTAAATAAACGACTGCCGAGCTTAGCATATGCATTCCACCAGTTCCTCACAATCAACTGTTCACTATCTACACTGACAACAACAATTAAAGGCATTTTAATATGAAAAAGTTCTTTTTATTTCCATAATTCACGGCAACCAAACTTGAACATGACAGAAAAAATGAGATTTTCATATTGAATTTCCCATAGACAAACACACTGTGATCACTGATAATTTATTTATTCAAAGAAACTCTGGTTATCATTCCCCTCCCTACCCCCTCCACTCCCAGCCCATAGCTTGAAGTATGATGCTCAGTACTAAAACCAGAATGACTCAGTGATTCTTGCTTTTCACATTCTAATGATTTTCTCAGGTGTGCTGGCAATAAAACATGAGTAACTTGCAAACACCTAGATCTTTGTATTTTGTGCAATTTTGAAACCAATAAATGAATCTATTTAATCAGAAATAGAGAACAGATATGAAAACAGTACATACACTTCAAGCAATGAATGTATCTAGTATCCTTAAATAAGGTTTAGGGAAAAAATAGGCAAGCTGAAAAAATAGCACAGATATCAATTTTATCTTGCCCCAAAGATGTCAACAACATTTAGCTAAAATTTCAGTCTATTATTGCATTTTAAAAGTGTCGTTCTGCGTGTACTAAAATGTTTCATAAAACACAGAATATATTTGTTGGAATATGTAAGAAAATAGATCACTTTTTAACCCACATAGGGTTTATTAATGGTTCAATACTTAAATGAACAAAGGGATGGTTGACTGATTTAAAAAATGGTGTGACAAATCTAACAGCTATAAATATTCAACAAGCTAGAAAGAAAATGAGCAAAATCTGAATACTTACTTATTCCATGCTTGTCTAAGGTTTTTAGAGCTGTACAGGGTAAAACGTTCTGAAAAAAAAAAAAGAAGAATTGAAAACAATCTTAGCATCAATTGTACATAGTAGAAGCACTTTGAAGATAACTTCCGAAAGAGCATTTGACGCAGTCATAGTTAAGACTAGTATACCTAGTTTGTGGTAAGGCCTTTCCCTTACATTTGAGGAGCTTATAAACCATGAGAGAGAAATATTTTAAATAATGAAAACTTTTATTTGCCTAGGATGATTTACACAGTCTAGCTTCTTCAGGAATTATTTGTGTTGACAAAAGAAATGGAAATTTTACTCTCCAAACTCTAAGAAAATTTACAGAAAAATATTGACACATTGGTCACATAATGCTTGCTAGCTGTTTTCTCTATGAAGATTTCTCTATCCAAATGTAACCATTCTGGGTCTCCTTTCTTATATTTCTTGGTATTAACATATGGCTAAAGGCAAACTCCTCATGTCCTGTCATGTGCATTTACATTTGTCATTGAACAAACCTCATAGTTTTTTGAAATTACCAAAGTAAATAATAAATTAATTTTGGATAGGTATTAGTAACCTCAACTCTTCCCCACTTTCCATTTTTGATGACATAGCAATTGTTGACAGCACCATAGGTCTCTCTCTCTTCATATTTATTTACAAATACACATATATGAGGTATAAATATTTAAAAATTTTAATTTCAGATTGATTTTATAATAAACTGGCATTTAGTAACACATAGCAATTATTCCTTCAAATCAAGAAAACATAGGTCACATTCCATTGGATACAATTACTGTAACTTATTGGATGACTTTCTATTTCTTGTTTTCCTTGCAAACAAAGCTTCAGTGAATATTCTGGCCCATCTATCTCTATACAAAATGCTTTCATTTCTGTCAGATAGATTCCTCAACAGAAAATTGCTTGGCAAATAGTACCAACATTTTATATCTTGATAGAAGCTGAAGGTTTACTTTTAATTTTCCCAGCAGCCATGTAAAAGCCCCTCTTTCTCCCTTGACTTCCAGTACCAGTTAATGTTCGTGTTTCATATTTCTGTCAAAGCTGGGCTTGATAAAACATCCTTAGGCTTCTTTTCATACCCTTTCTGGCCTGTTTACATTTCCTCTTCTATTTCAAATTTCAGTTTTCACAGCTGGTACTGATTTTAATATTGGATTGTTGGTCTTGATCAGTTTATACAAGTTTTCTGTATCTGATTAAATTGTCTCATATACTCAGAGTAATGTACCCCATAATGGATCTTTGATCAGTAATACTGTATACATGCATATGATTACAATGGAGCTGATAGGTGCCCCTTAGTGATACTGTAGTCATTGCAGTGTCATAGCACAATGTAGTGACCTGGTATACACAAACACTGTGCTGCCAGCTGTATAAATAGCAGATATAATTGTCAGATAATTACACATAATATATATTACTTGTAAATGCTAATAGATGACTATGTTACTTGTTTACAAAATTATATGCCCGTGTGTGTGAGTGTGTGTGTGTGTGTGTGTGTGTGTGTGTGTGTGTGTGTGTGATTACCAGGCTTTAAAATCAAGTTCTTGAGCTCTTTTTTAGCTTTCTTTTGTCAGTTGTGGGACTTGAACTCAGGTCTGGGTGCTGTTCCTGGGCCTCTTTGTGCTCAAAGCCAGTGCTCTACCAGTTAAGTCACAATACCACTTCTGATTTTCTGGCAGTTAAATGGAGATAAGAGTCTCATAGACTTTACTGCCCAGGATGGCTTGGAACCACAGTCCTCCTGAGTAGCTAGGATTACAGATGTGAGCCACTGGTGCACAGTTTCCTTGGCTTTTTTGTTCACTGTTGGTGAGCTGTCTCTTGAACCACATCTCCAGTCCAGCTTCCTTGCTATTTGAGATGGAGTCTCACAGACTTTTTTGTTTTTGAGCAGGCTAGCTTTGAACTGCAATCCTCACAGTTAAATCTCCTGAGTAGCTGAGATTATAGGTTTGAAATATCAAGGTATCAGCATCAACTGTTCCATGTATTTGTTCTTCTATTTATCACACTATATTTTTATTGCTATTTTAGAGTATATCCTTTTTATATACTTACATACATCTCATCTCTCTAAATATATACCTATTTATATATGTGTACAATATATTTAATATATATTTACTATAGTGTATATGTCTACATCTATATCTATAGTTATATCTCTATGTAAAGCCCAGGTAGGACCTTGAAGAGGAGTTTCAGAAGAAATGCTTCTATCATGAGAAACAACAAGTAACTTCATGTGGTTTCTTTTCCCTGGGGGCCTTCCAGTGGAATGATGTATGAGCTGAAGACAGTGATAATGATTATTCTGCCCTGTGTAGGTTAAGGTTAATGCATGCATTTGTATATTATTTTTTAATTATCATGCATTAGTTATATAAGGGGTGCTGTATTGTGATATTTCCAGACATGTACACAATGTTTTTCACCTTCTCTATCACTGTCCCTTATCCCTCCCCCTTCTTTTTTTTATTTTTTGGGGTCTGGTCGTGGGGCCTGAACTCAGGGCGCTGTCCCTTAGCTCGTCAGCTCAAGGCTAGCACTCTACAATCTTGCATTTACAAGTAAATTATAATCCTTAGCAATTAGTAAATGCACACAAATATAACTTCTAAGAGGCTCCCCTATTTATAGCTTAACAAGGTATGCTAATATAATCTTTTCTGGAAACACCCTATATCAACGTTAGTAATGCACGAGAGACAAATTGGTAGTAAACCAAGCTAATAAAAAAATAAAAAAGATTGGATCTTCATTCTCATTATATTACCTTCCATCATTATTCAGATGAACATTTTAATGCTTTTAGCAAATATTGCCTGGGAACCTGTCTATGTGTCAGGTGATGCACATAAAATGCATGGAGACATAACAATGATTAAATGCAGATCAGTAGCAGAAAAACATAAATGGAGAGTGGGAAATACTACAAGGTCCCTTATCCCTCCCCCTTCTCTTTTTTATTTTTTGGGGTCTGGTCGTGGGGCCTGAACTCAGGGCTCTTGTCCCTCAGCTCGTCAGCTCAAGGCTAGCACTCTACCATTTGAGCCACAGCGCCATTTCCGGCTTTTTTCTTTTTGCTTATGTGGTGCTGAGGAATCGAACCAAGGGCCTCATGCATGCAAGGCAAGCACTCTACCACTGAGCCATCTTCCCAGCCCCTCCCTCCCCCTTCTTAAAACAATCCCAATAGGTTTAACTTTTCTGTCTTATACCTGTAAATAAACTACTGAAAGCACATTCATGTTTATTCGCCTTCTTCACAAATGTTAATTTACAAGAATGTCTAAAAAGTGAAAAAGGACAAGGGTTTTTACAATAGAAAAAAATCTTAACAGAGTAAGAACATTAACAGGGATGTTTTGATATAGCTGTACAATGACTATTTTAAGGTAAATGTAATTTTTGAAGAATTTAAAGCTTACAAAAAGTTTGTAAAATAATGAAGTTATAGTAAACTAAGATTATTTTTTAAAACAATTGTTATGGGTTTCGTGTGGCATTTAAAGTCTGCAGCATTGCACAGTAGCATTCTCAGCCTTGTCACTCACTGATTTACCCAGGACTTCCCTACCTGCAAGCGTTGCTCATGGTTAAGTGTCCTGTGTAAATAAATACAAAAGATCCTTGGGATAGAGGAATGTGTGGTTCTAAAGAGACTATCACTAAGGAAAACACATAAATGCTCAGCATCTACAACTTAGTGCTCTAGATTTATTCAAATTTGCCTATTCTATGTACAGCAGGTCTGAGTATCTATAACTTAAAATTGAATGGAGCTTTGCTTCAGTGGCTCATGCCTATAATCTTGGCTACTCTGGAGGCTGAGATCTAAGGATTGTGATTTGAAGCCAGTTTGGGCAGAAAAGTCCCTGTGAGACTCTTATCTCCAAAGAACCACTCAAAAAACTGGAAGTAGTGCTGTGGCTCAAGTGGTAGAGCAATAGCCTTAAGCACAAAGAAGCTCAGGGACAGCACCCAGGCCCTGAGTGCAAGCCTGACAATTGACAAAAAAAAAAAAAAAACGAATAGAGAAAAACACATTAGTGTCACAAATTTAATGCTGTACACATGAATACTGTGCACCAAAAAACTAGATTTGTTTTATGTTCATCTATGGTGATTCCAAAGGTATCTAACATGTATTACTCATGGAGTTTCAGAGATATTTTTCTTTTTTTTTTCTTTTGGTCAGTCATGGGACTTGAACTCTGGGCCTGGGCGCTGTCCCTCAGCAATTCAGCTCAAGGCTACTGCTCTACCGCTTGAGCCACAGCACCACTTCCGGCCTTTTCTATTTATGTGGTGCTGAGGAATTGAACTCAGGGTCTCATGCATGCAAGGCAAGCACTCTATCACTGAGCCACCTTCCCAGCCCCTCAGAGATATTTTTCTAAGCAGGGATACCTAACTAAATATTTCACCATCTCTAGGTGCCAGCCTGGATCAGAGCAGATACCAGAAGTCTTGATCCAAGGGTATTTGCTAGCTTAGAGCAGCTCTGATGAGTCTTCCATTTTCCTGATACAGGCAGAAGTGCTCATCAACAGTTAGGATTTATTTCGTTCAGAAGAATATATAATTTCTCAATTTATTCATTACCAGAAAACATTATAAGTTGCAACAGAGCTCAACAAATTAGTATTTGACGATGAAATGACAAGAGCAGGAGAAACTGGAGGGCTATTCTATCAAGTTTTTATAAAAATAATAAGAAACTCTCATATTAAAAATTAATTACATCAGAGTACTTGTAAAATGAATTTGATTCTCTTGACTTTGGACTCCCCACAAAGCAATTTTAATAATTTTTTGATGAGCAAGAATTCTATTATAGATAAAATTAATACAATCTTGCATTTACAAGTAAATTATAATCCTTAGCAATTAGTAAATGCACATAAATATTACTTCTAAGAGGCTCCCCTATTTATAGCTTAACAAGGTATGCTAATATAATCTTTTCTGGAAATACCCTATATCAACATTAGT